GACAGGGAAGGGACCTGTGTCGCCTGAAACACTCTGCTAATTCTAGGCAGTGAGGGCAAAACAATGGCCCCTAATTTCTTAATCCACACAGCATTGTAAAGCTGTGTTTTCCCACCACATAACACACTGAAATCTGATCTTCTTCCCTTTAAAATACAAGTTCGTGCCAGAGAAAAGTGCTGCAAGGGCCATATGTACCGTCTGCAGAGTCAGATCTGAGCCGCAAATAAAGAGCTTTTGATTTTCTAGCCGAGGACAAACATGAAACAAGGCAGAAGAAGGTCAGTAACAATATCTAATTTAAACAGTATTGCATTTAAACAAACCAGTTGGCCTCCGGATGGCAGCAGCTGAAGGAGGAAGAAATAAAGAAACCCACCTTAAACATGCACCAATTAAAGAATCTGTTGTTCTGATTAAACCTTGAGAAAAGGGAGGCAACACAAGAAACCTCCTTCTGAGACTGGAAATATGGTGACTGCAAACCAACTTGCTAAAAACCCCAAGTGCTGTGGGGTGGGATTGGACTGGAAAGTTGCAGGTGGATCCCCAATCTCCATTAGGATTAATTCCTAACTCTGAGACAACTTGTTAGGAATAGCCACCATATATCTGTAGACCCTGCAGGTCTCAAATCCCTCCTCCGAGGCACCCAGGATCATCCTTTCCTTTGTGCAGGTAGAGAAACTTAAACATGGAAAGATGGAGACTCACAACTGGAGAGAAACCAGCCTGGTGCCTTCCTGTTCCTTAATATCAAACATCAACTATCAAATGTCAAATATCACAGCATATTTCCATGCAAGCCCGGTTTTGAGGATGTAAGGAGGATTTTGGTGCTGTAGAGCCTATAGTGCTCCATTCTTCTCCAAACATAGCAAAAAACTTCATCTCCTAATGACTGATTTATGGTATCTCCACCACCAGGAAAGCAAACCTTGCTTGACCTGCAGGAAGGTTTTTTAAAAGTAGTGAAGAAGCCTTCTTTTTCCCCAGTTCTCCTGGAGACATCCCAAGGACACTGGTGTACAGACACACTAACTCCCCCCTGCTCCGCCAGCCAGCTTTTCCCAGGGCTATACTGGGACACATATTTTCCCTACAATACCAGATCCCCAGGCTAGCAGTGCTTCTTCTGAAGTCTCTAAGTCAAACTCTGCCAACCATCTCCGTCCTCCCACAGGATTCCCGTGGCTGCCATTGGAGCTTTCCCTGTGGGGACAGCAAGAAACGCAGGGCACGAGCCTAAAATATAGACGGTTTGTTTTTTCACTTTGAAATGGAGCAGCACTGCCCTACCTCGAGTGTTCAGAGGATCCCTCTGGGTCATAAAACTATGGTTGCTTCATACAAGAAAATGTTGCAAAAGTGCAAAACATGATAGTCTATACTTGTCTTTTTTATAATTTTATGAAAATCAGCCTCTTTATAGCCACTGAAGATCTTCCAACCTGTTGCCACCACCTATTCTAATATTGCTCTTTTAACACATATAACCCAAGAAACATCTTCTTATGATTAAAAAAAAAATAGTTTTTGGTCACTGCCTTTGTAGTCTCTCAAATGAAGAGGTCTGGCAAGTGAAACTATGCGGGTGCCTCTAAGTTTCTGCTGTTTCAGGAGTCAGCTAAGCCTCCTTGGCTGGCCACGTGCTCCTGTGAGTCTGGGGATCCTTCTCCTGCCAGCCAGAAACATTCCTATAGATCTCCTAAGTCTGCTCTTGCCTCACCTGCCACAGCCACCAATGGCAAACACAACCCACCGCACAGGTGAGCAGCACTTTGTGCAGCTCTGCCCATGGAACCAAGACTAAAGATCCAGCTGATGGCAGCAGGAGGAATCGAGCTCTGTCTGCAAAGGGATACGAGACAATCCAGCCCCTCGGGAGGATGCAATAAACCTCACAGGCTGCACTTTTCCCAACAGCCTGGCCTGGTTCTGCAGGTGAAACCGTGGCTCCAAGCCGTGCTCTGGCCCTGGCCTGTGCCCTTAGAGCCAAACCCTCCTGGAGAGGGTCTGCACCAGCCGCAGGGGGATGGATTGTTCCTTACAGACACCTCCAGCTGTTCCCTGCGCAGGCTGGGATGCGGCACCGCGGGGCACGGCACGCGGTGTGGGCGGGATGGAGCGGGACGCGGGGATGCAGGCGCTATGGAGCGGGGAGAAGGGAGGGGGAACGGCGGAGGGGGCTCCGGGGGTACGGCACGGTGGGGCGGCACACAGGGACACGGGACCGCGGGGGCTGCAGGGACACCGTTATCACGCAGCGGCTGCGGGGACCCGGGAATCACGGAGCGGGCTGCGGGGACCCCCGGAGGCCGCGGGGGGCTGCGGGGACGCGGGTGTCCGAGGATCTGCACGCACCCGGTGTCCCGGGGGGCTGAAGGAACTGCAGGGACGCGAGTTTTCCGGGTGTCACAGCGTGTAAAGGGACGCGAGTGTCCCGGGGGGCTGCAAGAACTGTAGGGACACGGGTACCCCGGGGGGCTGCCGGGACGCGGCGCAGGGATGCTCATCGCGGCCGCAGCAGCCCCATCCCCGCTCCCCGGCACTGCCCGCAGCCCCGCAGCCCCTCCGCCGGCCCAGGGTCCCCCCCGGCCGCCCTCCCAGCGCTGCGGTACCGAGCTCCGCTCCGCCGACACCCCCCGCCCCTCCCCGCCGGGGGATGCGGCCGCGGCCCCTCCGGCCGTGCCGAGCGCCGGGCGGTGCCCGCCGGGACTCACCGGTGGCGGTGCCGGAGCCGCGGAGTCGCCGCCGCGCCGCGGCCCCCCGCGCATTTCCTCCCCCGGCCCGAGCCGGTCCCTCCGCCCCGGCCCAATGAGCTCCCGGCGGGGAGGAAAGCGGAGCCTCCCGGCCGGGGGGAAGCGCCGGGGCCCGGGGAGCCTCCGCCTGCCCCCGCCCCGCCGGCCCCCGCCGGCCGCCACCTGCCCCCGGCGCCCCGGGAACATCTGGGGACACGGCGAGACCGCCGGAGAAATCAGTTCTTGCGGAGGGCGGAGGAGTCATGCGGGGATAGGGCAGGACCCCCCCGGGAGCCCAGCCCGGGGTGGGGGGACACGCTGGTGGTGCGCCCCGTGAGTTTTCTCTGGCTCTGATGGAGACGGGATTGCAGGAAACCCCTGCCCTGGATTGAGCTGGAGCCTTACCTGGTGACCCCACGTCAGGCTGAGCCCCTCAGCCCCGGCGTGTCCCACACTGCGAGGACACGAGGTCCCTGAACCCCCTATGGCCCAGCCCGCCTGGGTGGGCAGGGGATTATAGCAAGAGGGGGAGATCCCAGCGCAGCCTCCAGCCCCTCGCCCAGGGGTGTTCAGACTCCCCGGGGAAATGGTCCATCGCCAGTGCAGTGCCCAGGGCAAATTTATTTCTCTTTGCTAAAAAATATTGTGGCTGGTTCCGCACTCCCCACGAGCACATATAATTTTAAGAGGAGACGTGTTTCCCTAGGTTAGAGACCTGGTCCACAGCCTCCCGCCGTGCCCCGTTAATCACCCTGAGGTCATTACAACAGCGAAGTCCTGCAGAAGCCGGCAATAAATTGCCAGGACAGGGAGGCTGGTTTTCAGCGAGCCCTAAAGGATGAATACAGGATTCCTTGGAGGGGCCCCCAGCTGTGGAGCCATGTGAGGATCGACCCCGAGAGACTCCCAAGGGTGACACACTGGGCTCAGCTCCGGCTGGGCAACACCTGCCCCGGGACAGCTCAGGCAGCCCATCCCAGCTGCCTACAGGCTGCTCCTCTTAAAATGCCCAGTTATTTATCAAAGCAGTTCGGTTTGTGCCAAATTGCCACTTGTTTTGTCTACATTTTTGTCTGGAAAATTAGAGCACAGAGGCTTATTGTTTTTCAAATGACTTAGGCGCCTGCCCATGCACAGAGCCATTCTTGAAGATAGCGGGGATCTGATGTGCGAATGAATGGCAGGATACAGCCCCCTGGGAATATTTGTTCCCATTAAGTTTTGTAATTTTTTCGAAAGCATGTAAGCATTTAAAGGAAATATTTACCAGCTAAACAACAATGGCGCCAAAAGAGCAACTGAGATCACTGGCCCATCCCCTCTATTTCCTCAGGGATACGCTGAGGCCGCTGATGGAACTGGAGCTGTCTCGGGTCGTGCTGCACCCCCCCGGGAAGGTGATGGGTGCTGGTGTTCTGGAGTGGGGCTCCCCGTGTGAAAGGAGTGTTGGTGGGATTCTCCCTGAGGAAGGGAACAGAGGGGAATCCGCTCTGGGATGTGCTGGGATCCCTCCCAGCAGCAAAGGAAAGGCTCGCTGGTGCTGGTGGAAGCACAGCTCCACGTTACGCAGCATCTCATACAGCACAGGAGGGGTTGCCCACCCTGTGGATCCATCCTACCTCCCAGGAATGATTTCAGCTCATTTAATCTCCTAAACACGAAGCAGAGGCAACTTTTCCCAAGAGCCTTGAAGGGACGGTAATTATCATGTTATGCCGAGAGTGTTACTGTTTTTTCTGGTGTACGGGGGAGATGAACAGAGCCTGAATTATTGCCTAATAATTGCAAAATGCATTTGGAAGACAAGGGAAAGCTTCTCCGTCTGGCCATGCTGAAAGCACAGGATCTCATTTTGCAGCCAAGGCACTCACCTTGTCCACGGTGCTCCATCATGTGTCCTGGGCAGGGATCCTTTCCTTAAGGAGCATCTTGGTTTCTTACTGTCAGGACAGAAAAAGCCCACTGTTACACTCCCCCTGTCAGGCAGGCAGAGACCAGTGACCCAGCCCTTGCCCATGATGGACCTGGTGTGGGATGCCCTGGACACTCCCAAAGGTGTGGAGCTGTGGAGGATGAAACATTTGTGGAGTGGGGTGGAGGATGGAAGCAGGATCGTGACTCCCTGTGGCACTGGCACTGAGCTCACACCACTGGTGTGCCAGAGGCAAGGACACTGTGACACTGTGGTAGGGCACAGGGAGGCCCTAACTGCTTGGGAAACCTTTGCCTGAGTCCCTGGAATACCAAGCGTAAATTTGATGGTGAGGAAGAGGATGGACTCATCCTTCAGCTCTTTGCAGGACACCACCCAGCACAGGACCAAGCACACCACCTTCCAGGGTCCCCGGTGGAGCCTTCTCAGCCATTAGGCATTTATTCCCTAAGTGCACTGAGCATTTTAAAATTCTGCCAGTATTTTAATTGCAAAATGTTTGCTTCGCAGTTCCATTTATTGGGTCAAATCTTTGCTCAAGCAAGTGCCCATGTCAGCTGCTAAAGAACTGCTTATAGCCCATTAAAAGAGCATTTAATCCTCTGCTCTTGGGGAGGGTTCGGTGTCTTATGTGCTAATATTCATTATGCTGGGAGGAAATCCCCCAGGACACTGCCTGGCAAAGTTCCCTTGGAAGCAGGAGTTATGCCAGTTCAGAGTGGGGGAAGATCAGATCTGTTGGCACTGTTAAGGTCGGTGTGATGATCTTCTGACAAAGGCAGCAAGGGATTTTGGCTCCTGTCTGCAAGGCTGTCTGAATTTGAAGTCCTCCCTTGACCAATGTTTTACATTTTTCCCCCACAGCTTTCTCCCTCACACAGTAGAAGTGTACTCCCACGACATCTAATATTAATGCCTGTCTCCAGGCCAAGAAAGAAATGTTTCTGCCCAACCTCCCTCTTAGATTTAACAATGTCAAAACCTCCTTGTCTCCCACTGGTTTTACCACCAGCGTGAGCTGTGAAGGACACTGAGTGCTGGCCTGGAGCAGGTCTCAGGCTGAGCACTGGGCTGGCTGCAAAAGTCAGATTTTCACCCACCCCCCTGTTTCCTAGAGCCTGTCCCACAGACCTGCCAAGCCCAATGCACCTGCCTGGGAATCCAACATCCCCCTGAGAGCATCTGTGGTGGATCAAGGCATGGAGCTGTGGGCTGGAAGTGGTCCCCTGTGTGATAGGAGAGCTTGGAGGGTGTGAGGTATCTGGGCATGGGGGGACTTTGCTCTGGCTCTGTAGGCACAAAAAAGGAATGATAACAGAGGAGAATTAATAGGAGGTCAGCACTAAAGTCCCACATCAGAGAGGAGCACTTCCATCCCATCACAGAAAACGGGACGTGCCCAGGCACACGAGTGCTGCCCCAAACTGGGGCCAGAGGTGCTGAAATGGCAGATGGATGGGGGGACAGGCAGGAGAGTGACACACATACAGATGCAAAACCTTTCAGCTGCTACAAGCCCTGGCTGACCCCGTACCTGCTGTGGACAATGGGCTCTCGCTGGCCTCTGCGGGGGTCTGGCACAGAACTGGAAGCACTTGCTAAAGCAATAGGAATTTTTGGTGCTTCTCAAAAAAAGGGGGGAATGGCTTTTCCTGTTCTAGGACAAATTCTTCTGCTCAGGTTTTTCATAAGGCTGTTTGTAAACTTTACACTTGAGTTGAGGCTTTGGAGCAGCCCCTGCTCTGCAGAGCTCTGTGAGGAAAACGACCTCCCACTATTCTATTATGTCCTATATTGTTCTCAGCTGCGTCAGCTGCAGACCAGTTATCTCAGTGGAAATCTAGATGAGTCCACTGATGGCAGTGAGATAAAAACAGGTCAAACCAAGAAAGGTACTTGGTCTGTAGCTCTCAGTCTGTTTTCACCAGTTGCCCAGGGCTCTGTGTATTATAACGGAGACTGGAGCCCCACAAAGTGGTATTTTTTTTTGCCTGAGTAAGGACTTAACAAGCATTAAGTGTCTCAGGACAGGTGTGGTATAACTTAAGGTGACCATGGGGACAACCAGCAGCCGAGCTGCAGCTGTGCAAAAACAAATGCAAGAACAGGGCAACATCCCATAGCTAGGTTTGTTTTCCTTTGCATGCACACTTGAGCTCTTATTTACATTTAGAGAAGGCAGCAGTGGCTGCAGTGTAAAAACTGGGAAATGATTCATCCCACCCAGGAATAAACTGAATTTTGCAGCTTTCTGTGAAATTTCCCTGGCAAAACACGGCATTAGTCAGCAGGGAATGCTCCCCCACCCCACTTCCCCAGTGAATCACTTCAGAAAGGAGCATGGGAAGTGCAGTGGTATAGCTGGGAGATGCAGGACAGCTTGGTCTCTGAACCGTGACCATCCTAGGGAGCAGCTCAGCAAAGAGCATTTCCCACAAGAAATGCTCTGATTTTTGCTCTGATTATCCTTCTCTTCCAGAAAATCTCCAGCTCCAGGAACCTGTACTAAGCAGAGCTCCTCTCTGCCCTCACCTCCCAGGCTGTGAGCAGGACGGGGATCCAAGAGCTCCCTTCGGGAGAGAGGACAGAGTAAAAGAAAACATTTCTGATCACTCCCTTCTCTTTGCAGAGACGCTTTTCTTTCCCTGTCTGGTCTGAGACTTCTCCCCTGGTGTTTGGCCATGCCCCCCTGCTGCTGGTGGGACTGTGAGGCAGGTTGGTTTACCCTAATTTGTTGCAGTTTGTAAATCTGCCTCCCCCGGGCCAGCCCCATCTGCAGCAGCAGAGCCTGGGAAATGCCTCAAATGAGCCTCCAGACCAGATTCATTTTCTCTTTCTTACCTCCAGGGAAACTTGTGAGAGATGGTAGTGGAACAGCAGATAGAGGGGAGTAACTCCATCGGCAGATTACAGGGAAGAATACTGAGACTCTGCCAGGACAGACTCCGTGTTTTCCACTTCTGCTCAGAGGTGGATTTTTGAGGATGCTCAGGATCCAGCCACCACATTTGGACTTCTGCCTCGCGCAGCTTCCCAATCCAGTCTTAAATTAATTTCATCACTGACAAAGCCTTGTTGTTTCTTCTTATTTTTTATTCTCTGCTCAGTGAATTGATTCCACAAATGTTAGACCCTTGGAAAAAGTATGCTGGGGTTATTTCTACTGAGAGCATTCACTGGTGTGGTTCTGCTCCATATTCCCACCCAGCCAGCCAGTGCCTGGGTATCTCAGCTGCTTTTTTATCCCAAAACACAGGTAGCTGAAAACAGACAGCATGATAATCAGCCGGCTCCGTGGCTTTGCTGAGCTCCTGGCATGCACACCCGGCACGCTCCGGGCTCGGCTGTTAGGCAGGACAAAGCCTTGGTGTGACAGGCAGGAGAGTCCCTGCCCACATCCCTGTCCTGCCCCTCATCCTGCCTGGATCTGGGGCTGAATTTGGCAGCACAGAGAGGAGACCGGCAGGCAGGGAGCAGAGGGGGAAGGACAAACAGCGCGGTGGTGTATCAGTGGTCAGAGAGCAGGAAAAGGAAAAAGGGAAAGAGTAACAGAAAGTGAAGAGATTTGCTAAGAATTTGCAGCCATCCCACAGGAATTTGTGCAAGTGTTTGCAGCCTCTACACACACAGGAGGTAAAATTTACCCGCGGAGTTCTCTGCTCCTGGAAAACATCCTAAGTGCCAGTGGGGTGAATTAAAAATAATAGTGCTGGAGGCTGAACTCCACTCTGAGCAAAGCAGACCCAGCCTCACCAGGAGCTCAGATGGAGGATGCTCTCCACACCTTTTTGTTTTAAAGGACGCTTTACACACCCTTGTGCTTTGAAGGATGCTTTACACACCCATGTGCTCCAAAAGATCCTTTACGCCCTTGTTTGCTCCACGCTCCTACCATCATTTCTGCCTGAGCAGGGGCAAAACCACCCAGAGCCCGCAGGGTCTCACCTGGCAAGGACACACTCCCGCTGCCCCAGCGCCAGCCCCACATCCAATCCCATCCCCTCCCATCCCATCCCCTCCCATCCCATCCACCCCATTCCCCTTATGGCTCTACGGTACCTGTGGCACCCCACTGTCCCCCGCTGCGCTGGGAGCAGCCCCAGTGCTGTGCTCCCACATGGCTCCCGGTGGCCATCCCTGCCCGGCCACCCCGGGTCCAACGGGCCCAGGCACCCGCCCGATGGCCCTGTCATGGTCAGCTGTCGGCCACGCACAGGCAGGAGGTGGCTGCTGAGGTGGAAGGGCGGCTTTTTATGCTTTTCTTCCTGTATAAATCAGGCCGGGGATGGACAATCCCAGACAGGACTTCCTGTGTGTGTTGTGAGCTGATAACAGGCGCCGCGAGGAGAACAAACACGGCCGCCCCGCACCCCGAGGGGGAGAGGGGCTGAGGGGCGGCACCCCCACACCGTGACCACCAGGGATGGACACAGGGGGCTGAAACAGAAAGGAGGGAGACACAAGTCCCCGGGGACACAGGGAGCAACACGGCGGCCACCTGGGCTCCCTCCTGTGCCTCACACCACGCATAAGATGGGTTCCTGCCCCCCGCCCTTCCACCTCGCTGGGGCACATTTCGGCAGCACCCACCACAGACACCACTCATTCCCCCTCAGAGGGGGTGGATCGGCGGCAAGTTGGGATCCCCATCCTCCCTCACAGCCCATGCCAAGCGTGGCGGGGTTGGCGGCCATCTTGTCATGAGGGGCCACGTTGATGTTATGCACCAGCAGAGCGTGTTCTGGGGTATTTGTGACCCCCTGAAATTTGGGTTACAGCACTGTGGTCAGTCAGTTTGCTGGATGGCTTGTCACCCCTGTCACACTGTGCCTGTGTTGGGAAGGAGTGAGGTACACGCAGTTTGGGTGACAAAACCTACAGGACGTCACCCAGCAAAGATGGCGCCTTCAGGGCCGGGCGGCAGAGAAGCATGAAAACAACTGCCCTGGTGCCCTAATTTTCAAGCCCGTTCTGGGGCAAAACTGATTATAATTCCAAATTTAATACACGTGTATGTGTGACCTTGGTTCTGGGCGACCAAAGGAGGAACAACACAGTTTTTAATTGGATTTTGAACCTTTGATCCGGACCATGCTAAGAAAGGAGACATTTTAGAAGCATGAGGGCTGTGGTGGTGGCAATTATACGTCAACCCTCAAGACCCCCACGGCAACCCGTGGGTTCTGCCCCTGTCCTGGCAGAGCACATGGTGTGGGTTTAGGGACACGTGCCATGTGGGGCTCCCCTGGAGCAGGGCTGTGTCCCCGGCTCGTGCCGCACGTGCCAGGGTCCTCCCGATTGTGCGCAGGCTCACGGTGAGCACAGGATTACTCCCACCCTGATTCAGCAAAACAGTACTCTGGGCAAGTCCCCTGGGAGTTGCAAAATATTCCTGTGTTTATTTACATAAATGCATGGCTAAAGAAAGCCCCCTCTTGTTTTCCTTGGCAAGACAGGGTTTTGAAGGCTGCTTTCTGCTGCCCATCATCCTCTCCAGCAATAGGTGATTGTATACATCGTGTGCTGCTGGCAGCAAGCATTCCCAGCTGGTGGATTCTGTGGGAGCACACCTGTCCAGGGGAGTCTCCTCGAGGCAAAAGAGTGTGTGTGTTTGTGTGTGTGTGTGTGTGTGTGCTCGGTTGTGCATGAAATGCTGTTGTGCACACATTAACCTATAGGGAGGGTCTATCTCCCTGTGGTTTTCTAGTTGGTGATGAGTTTTAAGCATCATCTCCCCGTGGAAAGGTACAGGGTTCACATGGATGGCACGTGTCACCTGTGAGATGAGGCAGCACTGGATGCTCCGTTCAGATCAGAAATGCTGAGCACTGGGAGCTCAGGTCCAGAGCTGAGAGCTTTCTCCACCATCAGCAGACACACAGGCTCATCCCTATAATGTGCAGAGCCTTCTCAACAGCTCCTGGAATCCTCCCCAAAACACTACACTCAAATTTTATCATCTGAAACAACCACCGCTTGGTCCTGTGCCATCTCTCCCGTGTCCTCTGCCCCGGGATGAGTGCAGGTCACAGGGCATGACAGGGACATCGTCCACCCACACCTCCATGTGCACGCAGAGCCGGGCACGGAGCGGGACTGCTCTGGCCTCAGCAGCAGAGCCGCAGGAGTGAAACGGGATGTGTGGAAAACGTTTCCTGTTTACTCAGTCTTTGGAGTCCTCAGTAATAGCTGTTGGAGCGGGAATTGGTCAGCAGGGGCCATATGAATGGGTGTTTTTACATTTGAAATCGTGACGCCTCATCTTGCAGAGCCGCCACTGTCCTCCCGGGGAGGTCGGTGTTGGGGGAAAGCCTGGGTGTCAGCCAAGGCTCAGTTATGGTGTGCGAGAAGGAGGGAGGGAGGGAGGGAGGGAGGAAGCCAGAGGGTGTTGGTGCTGCACACTCGGCCATGCTGGCCATACCCACAGTCCTGCCTATGCCTGCACTTCCCATTGTCCCCCAACCTCCTGCTGGCATCTCCGCTGGAGCTCCAGCTCCCTGGCAGCTCCCAGCCCATCCTGAAGTGACCTTTTGTGTAGCCCACGGTGGCAGGTGGCAGTGGACCCACCAGAGCAAAGCACGCAGATGGGCAGGCAGCCCCAAGCCGGGACACGTGTTTTCCACAGGCTTTTCCAAAGGCCGTGAGCCCCCTCCACCACTGACCTGCTCCACGGCATTCAGGGCCTGTCAGGCGTGAATTGAGTAGGGGGATGGAGTGGGCTTTAGCCCCTCATTAGCACAGGCCAATTAGTGTGGCATGCTGCCCTCCTGTCAGCTGATGTGGCTGCTGTTGAATACACCCTGCCCACGCTGATCCCTTTAAGGTTGAGGCTGTGTTTGGTGTTTTCCCCCACGGTTTTGCTGCAGGAACTTTTACATGTCTTTTTTTTTTTTTCCCTCCAAGTCTCAGCTGCTCCTGAGAAACCAAGTCCTGCCTGGTTTGTTTTATTGGCCTTTTTAGGCTGCTCTGTGCCAGCATGTGCTGCTTACTGTGATGCTGCAGAGTCAGAGACACCACTACCAGGGCAAGACCCCCAGCAGCCATATTTCAATAAGTTTTTTACATTCCCTATGCTCCCCACCATCCCCTGGATGAGCTGCACCCCACTCAACTCATCCCCTCACTGCTGTTTCTTGTGAGGCACCTGGTCTTAGATGCCCAGATCTCACAAGATCCTGGGGACATGTGGCACCTCTGAACCCACTTGGCCACTCTCCAGCCTGTCCTTGAGGTGAGGATGATGGGGAAAACAACAGGGAACAGCGCTGGGCAGAGTCCAGCCCAGAGATTACAATGTGCCTCCCACACACGGGGCAGGATCGAGGAGTTCTGAGGATGCCCTGGGAATACCCGACAGTGCAGCCGTAATTAATCAAGTTCAGAGATTGAATTCTTCATTAGTGCTTCTTACCACTAAGGGAGAGCCTTGGGAGTCTGTCAGGCATCCACAGCCTGGCTGGGAAACACATTTGTCTTCTCCTGCTGGAAACTTTCTGTGACAAGGAATTTCATCCGTGTTTTGCAGAGAATGTTGTACATTTCAGAGAAATCAGAATTCAGGAAAAAAGTTCCTCTGAAACTATCCCAGCTCCAAAATTGAGCTTTGAACTTTAGAGCCTCGAAATGTGAATGATTGGTTGACACTGTGTTTTTCCCACTCAAATTTCCCTAAAGGTTCAAAAAAATGTTGTTAAACAAAACTTCATTAGTGCAGTGTCTGGGGAGGACCTGAACCTGGGCACATGATGGCTGGTTTGGGATGGGGCCATGCTGTGGGGTGATGAGCTGAGAGGATCAACAGGCTTCTGTTTGCAGAGGGGTTTTGGGGCCCTCTGCAGCCCCATGTCCAGTGGGACCCTCCCCTCAGTCACAAAGAAACAACACTGAGGAAGGCTCTTTTGGCACAGCTCTTTGGGGGATATTTGTTCCCTGAGCTCTTTGATTATTAGTCTTTTCAAAAAGCTCTTTGATTATTAGTCTTAAAAAAAAAAAGAGAGAAGAAAAGAAAAATGGTAAAGAAAAGATGCTTTGGGATAGCTACCTCTGCTGAGTCTTCCTCTGTTTCCAGCTTGCCCAAGGAACTTTGCGTCTCTAGGTTTTTATCTCACAGTAAATGCTTATTTTATCTCTGACAGTGAGAGTCAGAGACTCCTCATTTTCAACACTTGGGAAGCACCCTGCAACATCCTCCAGGGATGGCTGGATCTGCCTCTGACCCAGAGGCTGCAGATGCTGTTGGAGTGTGGCTGGATCTCTTCCCCAGGGCAAAGACATTCCCTTTGTGCAGATCTCTCATTCCTCATCAAAGTCTCCACTTTTGCAATAAAGACATTTTTCAAGGTCTTTTGACGTCCGTAAGGCCTCCCCTCCCTCCCACTTGTACTAGCAGCTGCTCATTAACACCAAAAGCTAATTGCTACCCATATGTTAATTAGATATTTGACATCATGTTGCACAAGGAGTTGGGGTTGTGATGACAGAAAGCTGGGAGTTGACTTCTGTGATGCTGACTTTAAGTAGTGCTTCTTACAGAAGATTGGCAGGTTCTTCCAGGACATCTCCAATGTGGAAATAAGCCAAAGCAAAGGCTCCATGTGGGACACAGCCCCCAGCCAGGGAAACATTTCTGTTGCAAGCAATGCTTGAGCACACGCTTAAAGCCCTGCACGTGCTCCTGTGCTTTGTCAGAGGTGTGGGGGAGTTTGTGCCATCAAGGTCAGCCTGTCCAGGGCCATAAATCAACTCCAGCAAAATTAAGACTGGTATTAAGAGATCAGCCAGACCTTACTGTGAAGCACATTGTACATCTGCGCTTTCCTGAATCAGAGTGACCCCAAGACACTACTGAAGCACCAACACCTGCACGCCCAGCTGTAAGATGGGAGTAACACCGTGGTGGGCAGTTTCTGTAAGACCAAGGTGAGCAGCTCCCACTCAGGTGGGCTGAACAATGCCCCAGCCCTTGCTGTGCTTCATCTGAGCCACCCTGAGGGCTCAGCCTCCCCTCTCACTCTTGACAAAGAGTTCAAGGAAAGCCTGATAAGAGAAGGGGAGAAAGTGAGGGAGACAGGGAGCAGAGACTAAATATTGTGCAATTTGGTGTCTTGCACACAAGCAGCAAACCCTGGGCTGGGGGACAAACTGCCAAACTCCCCTGTTCTGCAGCAATGTGCTCTGGGGCACCACTGGGACCCCCGTGTACCCAATGTCAGGGCTGTGGCCGTGCCTCGCTGCTGCTGTTGTGATAACATCGAGGACAGAGATGGGAAAAAGCCCAGAGCCTCTCTTTTGCTAAGCCAGCGTGGCAAAGGGCTCCTTTATCTGCCCTTTGGTGAGAGATAAGG